TACCGGCATCGTGTTCCTCTCGTCAAGACGCATCGAATGAACTATACCTTGACCTTGAAACGTCAACTTGAAAATTTGACCTCAGATCAAGGTCATGACCTGACCGGAAAGGGTCATGTTGCATATCAGTCGATCCGTATCGTCGAGCTGAATACATCTAAGGCGTTTTCATCGCTCTAGCATGCCTCTATCAAAAGCTATTTGCGAAACACTGTTAGGTACCATTCGTGATCTAAGATGACCTCAGGGGCATAAACAGGGGTCACGTACACCGTTTTCATGTTCAGTGTGTCTAAACCACTTATAATTCAGTGTTTGGGAGTGTTTATAATGTCTTGCGTCCAGAAGAGGCGCATTTCAATCTTTCCCATTGACTTAGGGGAGGTCGCAAAATTGACCTGACCTTAGGTCATCTGTATCAAAATTCTGAGATATATATTTTGTACATGCTATTGCTCTTAGCAATCGCTGAAAGTTTCAAAGCGATCGGTCCCTCGGTGTAGCTATGGCAGACATTGAAACTTTTTATGAGGTGAGGTCACTTCAAGTGCCTGGTGACCTGACCTTGAATGACCTTGGTCTGAAATTTTCACATGTGTAGAATTGATGTATGATAAGGTGTACCAAAAACGGCGGCGCGGGCGAAAAACCACAAGGGGGTGTTCAAACCCTCCCCCCCCCCCCCAGCAGGGCGCGGGTTAAGATACTCTAATGTGAATATTCCCAAGGAAGTCCCCATTAAGCCCAGTGGCGGCATGTCTATACATGGAGATGATGGAGACCGACCATTATTTTAATGTCATGGGAGGTGATGTTGTTTGGTATAGGTATGTTGATGACATTCTGTTAGTTGTGCCAGACAATCTTGATCTTAGTGAAAAGATAGCTGAGCTGAACGCTGTCGAAAGAAGATCCAGTTTACATTAGAAGAAGAAACTAACAATACTCTACCTTTCTTAGATGTCCATATTGAGAGGACGCCCAGCGGCATCAGATACAAAGTGTACAGGAAAATCACGAACAAAGAGGACTATATTCATTTATTTTCAGCTCATAGCAGGGGAACGAAATCGGGGGTAGTGATTGGATTCTTCCTCAGTGCGATGAGACTATGTAGTCCCGAAAATCTGAAGGAAGAATGTGATCATATCACTGACGTTTTTAGAAGTTTGAGGTACCCCAGGGCATTTATAATTGAATGCTATAATAAGGCACAAAGGATCAAGAATAGGACGGGAAACGAAACAAACGGAAATACAAAGAACGCTATAGTTGTAATATCCAGATCACAGAATTGTGAAGCACTAACCCGGTTTACATAGCATATTTGACGAGGCTCTAGCCCGTTAATTTGGCGATAATTTCGTTGCAGTGGTCTTCAAATATTTAGAGGGGATCATTTTGTAAATTGTTAAGCACCATTGGCATCTTTTGCAACATCACGGACGGAGATATAAGCTTACAACAAACCCTATGTAAACGCGTCTATCATCAAAGATGTTGAAGTGCTCCGATATTCAGATTGTGGAAAAGACTGGGGAGAAGATTGGTCAGGTTGTAGCAAAAAAGAAAAAGTGTGACCGTAGTGAAACAAGTTTAGTGTACAAAATACCGTGCAAGGGGTGAACACTCGGTTTTGTATTTTGTGTGTTTTATATATATATTTGCACACTGATGAAGTAATATCGAAACCGGTTTGTGCAATATATTTGTTCACATTATCGCTTTTCACAAATGTGAATATTCCGTGTTCAGGCAAGTTCCGGCAGCCAAGCTAGGCGTTGTCTTGTGCAGGAGAAAGTGGCGAATTCGATAGGATATGTTTCCGAGTGGAAAAGTGTGGAAAACATTGTTGATTTCCTACATTTATTTAAAATACCATTCCTTCAACACGGTGTCTGTAAGGGTTTTCTGTAAATGGCATTTTTGTGACATACCTTAGTAAGGTTGTGGCATACTTTCTGTTTGCCATTCCATTCCTAATAAAAGTGCCTTTCAGAAGATATGCAACTTTAAGATTTCGCAAGAATAAAACCAACAGGACAGGACAATGAAATTGAGCTATACTTTCAGGCCTTACTGAGCCCATTGAGTAATCACGCATGAGTGTGAACTTTGGGCGCATTTTTCCAAGTCTTGCTGTGGAAATACACATGGTGTGTCAGAAGTGGAAATAGCCGCCCGGCTTTAGTTCTCCAGCCTTGTCAATAGATGGCAGTACCGCAATATGGGCGGCGGATCGTGCCATTGACGTCAAATTTTCGGTACCTGCTAAGAATTGAACGGCGGATCTTGTCATGCAAGAATCAAGTAAATCGGTCTACAACTTTTCTTACAACAGGGGTTTAAAGTCAAACACCCTGCCAGAGCGGCGGCGCGGCAGCCGGCGGCGGCCGTTACGCGCCGCCTTGGAGACTGCCGGCGCGGGACGGTTCCGACTTTGCATTGCACTAAAACCTGTTAACTGTTTGGAATAATTATCATAGCAAAATTTTCATTCAAGTGAGGAACAATCCAAGGGCAGGAAGCATGTATGTTTGTGTGCATACTGTGCAAGCCAAGAAGCTGCATTAGCAGATACTCGCTAATATTAGATCCAGCCAAGTCCAAACTCATTCCCACGGGATCTGTTTCAGGTGCGCCAACCATATTTATCGTTCGAGGGCGGATACAGTTGTAACAATACAAAAAATATATTTTTGCACAGCTCTATTCCTTGAATAATTCTCTTCAACGCCTTATTTCTAGTTAAGCGAATTAGTCCACCCTGGTTGAATAAATAAGGTGATTTCGCCAAAAGGTCGCGGAAAACCGACCGAATACGGCCGCGCTCAATGTTCATTTGGGCATGTATACTCTTAAAAACTGGCATTGGGCGGATAGGATTTTTCAAGTTTTGGCTCCAAAACAACGTATTCGGCACCCAAATACGTCCAAGTGATCCGCCTCCTTCCTAATTAAGCTCTAATTAGATAAAGTGACTCATAAGGAGCGAAAAAAGCGACAAAAAGCATGAATTTCCCTATGGCGGCGGGCTGCCGGGTTGCCAGACGGCGCACCGGCTATTTCCACTTTTGACACACCATGAGATAAAACAATGCCATATATGAAAAATTCAGACATTTCTTAGCCCCACTGACACACAAAAAAATAAACAAAAATCCAAAAAAGATTTGTGGAATTAAGACGCGCTAGATCGGAAAATCCCCACTGTGCATTGGTGGCTTTTCCGACTTTCAGATCGGGAGTTGCGTGTTTCTTTTTTCCAACCAAAGGAAGGCGCTATACCCGAAGATGCTTCTTGGTAAACAAACCAAACAAAAACAAACATAACCTAACCTCACCTGACCTAACCTACAACCTACAAACCTACAACCTACAACCTAACCTACAACCTAACCTACAGACCTACAACCTAACCTACAGACCTACAACCTACAAACCTACAACCTACAAACCTACAACCTAACCTACAACGCGCCAAAAAGTTCGGCCGGCGGCGGGGATCGAACCCTAGTTATTAGATCACGAGGCGAGTGTGCTCACCACTACACCACGCAGCCAGCTGGCCGGTGAGAGGTGTAAGTCACTTTTCAATGACGCAATGGGATATTCTCCGTATAGCGCCTTCCTTTGGGTGGAAAAAAGAATTACGCTCGGGAGTTATAGACGAAAAACTCCTAGTTCTGACCGTAGTGACGTCATAAATGACGTCACACAAGGTCAACAATGCAAAAGTGAAGTGTCGGACCTTGCAAGAAGTGCATGAAATCACGATACCATTTGCGCGATTAAAATAGTTTTAGATCATTCTAGGTGCGAAAATAACAGTTTCCATATTTCCCCATTGTCTTATAACGGTGAGGTCACGTGACCGATCTGACTTCATGTGACCTTTAGAAAGTTGACTGATATACAAGCTGTGAGACCTCTGGAGAATACTACGAATGCGTCCTGTAAGTTCCATCTTGGACAGCTATGGTCATTGATGTCCAAAACAATGTAAGCGCTTGTAAGGGAGAGGGTCGGATGAACCCTTTCTTCATATTTTTTTTTTTTCAAATGACTCAGTCTTCAGTGGAACTTTCAGTAACCCTTGACGTCACTAGACAGCTTTACCATGCCATTTGTATGCGCCCCTCCTGAAAGCACTAGCTATTAGAAACTATTATCGTAACGCAAAATAAGTGCGTTTATAGAAAGAACACTTTCCCATTTTTTCCATACTATGGAACAATAATCCACATGTTTCTTTAAAGAAATCAAAATTTAAAAAAATGGTCCCGAAGTCCAAAAATGCCAATGAAGAAAACTCGACACGTCATACCTACATCAAAAACAGTTTATTTTTCAGCATTTCAAAAATATATTAATCTTTGTTTCATTACAAGTTCAATGCCGTATAGCATTTGGCATTTGAATATCCGTCTTAGAGTTACACCCCACCAAACTTACCGCTTCCAGGAAAATCCAACAAATGTTGTACACTATAGGTAAAAAAAAAGGGTATCTGATCAGCCTTAAATTGGTACAGGCGAATTCAGAGCCCCCGATTGCCTTTGAGACGAATTTTCGTCAAAATCCGAGAGATGAGAGCAGAGTGTCAGATTAGAAAAAAGTAGTACGGTCTATCGTGGAATGCCCCTGCTATGACAGGCATTGAAACTGCTTCTGAGCGAGGTGAGGTCACTGGTCATGACCTGAACTTAAGTGACCGACGACCGTGTTCTAAAACTTTTACAGAATGTGCAGAAAAGAGGTACCATATGTGCCAAAAACGTCGAAGCTCTGCGCCGCCGTTTTTCTGATATTCGCAAAAAACCGGAGGGGTGATCAAAGGCCCCCCCCCCCTCAGTAGCCGCGGGATATGCATAGCAATACGATACTTGCGCCGAGCTTTGCGCAGGTGGCGGCCCGGAGCGTGTGCACTGGGCAGTCGGCCCGGAGCGTGTGCACTGGGCAGTCGGCCCGGAGCCTGACAGCTGCTCTCCGATCGACAGGTGTCGCTGGCCGTGATGCAGAAGCGGCTGTACGAGAGCGCGCTGCAGTCGCGGGCCAGTTCGGCGCTGGCCAGCGCGCGCGCCGCCGAGCACGAGCTCGACATGTCGGGCGTCAACATCAGCTCGCTGGGCTCGGTGGCCATTGCCAGCAAGAAGCTCGACGGAGAGGACTAGTGCGTGACCGCGGTGCGTGCTTACTAACTGGTGTGGCCTGTTCAGCGGACGGAGTCAGCCGCGCGTGCGGCCGGCCGACGGATGCCACCGAGTGGCAAGTGGCACGGTGCACCGTCCGGTCGATGGCGGCCGGCGGCGCTGGGGCTGCCGCCACCTGTCTGCCGGGGTGCAGCCCGCCCGTCCAGCACACCATTCTGATAGGCCGTGTGTGTGTGTGTGTGTGTGGGAGGGGGGGGGGGGTGTGCCGGTGCCGGTGCCGGTGCCGGTGCCGGTGCCGGTGCCGGCCCGATTCAGTGTCCTTGGCGGGTCTGCGCGGCCCCGGAGAGCTGGCCCAGCGAGCTCCGTCCGCAGACACACGCCAAACAATCCGACCAGACACTGTTCCAGTGGCAATGGCGGTACCATGTAATGGAACAATAGTCGTGTTTACATAGGGTTCCCTTAATCTTCCCCTATTTCTCCCCTATTTTCAGATCGAATTTTAGGCATCATAGCGCTCGCGTGTAACGTTGCTATGGACGCTATTGTTGTTAGAAGCATACTAAGCATCGTTTATGCTGTAAACAATATAAATTGGGCTTATTTGATACTCGAAATTCAACAATTCATATTTTGAAGTAATTTTATCCTGCCCTTCAATTCCCTCTTTAAGCGACAAATAGGGGAGGATTTGGTAGCGTAGCGCCTTTCCAAAAGCTGCTACGCTACCATATCCAGTGGTTCTCAAACTATCACATCACAAAAGCGGCGTGCTGATTGGCCGGCAGTTCCGAATCGTCCGAATGGTGGTCCCCGACTCGACAAGCGCACGTGCGCCGACTGAGGATTTTTAAGTGGCATTAACGCATAAACGGCAGAAAGTCAAGGCGGAAATTCGACAGGTGCGGTGTTCTGATATTGCCGTGGATGTGATTATACCTACTTGAATAATAGCTCAGCCGTTTAAAGTATGTTAAATGCCAGATAGTTTTCTGATTTTTCTTGCTTTGAGCTTTCATGTGCTATCACTTTTACCTCAGTGTCTAGTCTGGAAGCTATTTGGGAGAGCCCTAAAGGTAAGTAACAATTGCAAACTGCTTCTAGAATGACTTAGTTGCGCCATATTTGTAGTGAAGCGAGGTAAAGGAGACAGAGGATTCCTTTATAAGGGACATTTAAGAGACAAATAGGGGAAGATTAAGGGAACCCTATGTAAACACGGTTAATGTGATCTGTCGGGTTCGTTGGGAGTGGCCGCGCAATTACAGGTGCGCTGTGGCAAGTGATTCGTGCTGTGCGGACTGGTAAGACGTCGGTTCACCTGACCACGGGACCTTTTCAAACTGACCTTAGGCCGGGCTCAAGTTTCATAAATTGATATAAGAGCCGGGCTCAAGCCATATAAGAGCTCATATAAGAGCCGGGCTCAAGCCTCGTTGGCGTGAGATTCCGGTGGTAATAGGCTAAACGGTTTCAATGATTGGATTAGTGCAAACTTACTACAGTTTTTTCCCGTTCGTTCTCAAATAAGTTTAACTTTTAGGTGTTTTCTTGCTTCACGACACGTTAAACGTACAGATGTGAATAAAACTCAAAAACTGTCACCTACGCGATGTCTAGCTGTCGCCAATTTTTTTTTTTTAAAGTCATATTGAAACAGTAGTTATGACAATGTTTTGCCTTTTTCTCGTCACCTTTATCCAGAATTGGAGGATCAAAAGCATGCGATAATGCCATCCGAAAATTCCCATTGGTGGGTCGCTGAAGAAAAGTTCGGCTGAGCCTGTTTGTCAGTATGTGAGTTTGTCCAAGCATTTTTGGACCTGGGCCCAATCTTATAAAGGTTGTGCTACCAAATGCCGTACTATCATTCCACGCCACTCTACGGCACCCTATTCACGCAATCTTATAGTATGCTAATTCTATTCACGCCATTTTGCCCACAGTACAAATCAACGCCAGCAGGAAACACGCAACGTGATTGGTCAATGTCTTGTCGCCACCGCTATTGGAAATTATGCGTACTGTTTGCGAACAGCAAAAGTTATGTGTTTTAATTTTTATGGGGCATTCATTTCTTTTATAGACACATATGTGTAATGAATAAATTACTTATGGAAAACGTGATAGCAACCTATGGAAAACACCAACATGCTTGAGGAATTCTCCTGAAAAGTGGATTGCCGACCAAATAAATTTCAGCGTGGGCATTCTCGCGCTCAGAAAATCGAGTGAATAAAGTGTTTCTTCTTCTTATCATTTGCATTTATTTGCTGTTAAGGCATTCCAATAAATTTGTTTAAAAATTATCTAAATAATGACTTAATTATAGTTCGGCTACTGTTTCAGTAATTGAAGTAATGCCGTTGACAATGAAGCTCCTACAATTTGAGCATCAAGATACGTACATTAACTGGATCAATTCAAGATATAGCTTATTTTCCTTCTTGTCATAAGCTCTTGAAATTTTTCCTTCTTGAAGATAAAGCTACTAAAATTCGAAGATTACGTAGGGGAGAGCGGGGCCAGTTGAACCACTTTTTATATATTGACATGCACAGCGAGATCTACACCTTTTTAGGCGCAATTTCAAAAAGTTAAAGGCCAAATTCAAAAAGTTTACGTTCAAAATGCACGTGAACGTTTTGAATTTGGTCTTTGACTTTTTGAAATCGCGCCTAAAATGCTGTAGTTGTCATATCGAAAAATGCACAATGCCATGAAAAAAATATGCTCTTTTGGCTTTATTTAAGATATGTAAAATTATGTTTCAAACATATTTTGCTGCCAAACGCATGCTTATAAAACAGCTCTACGCCCGTTTCAAATCACCCCGATGCGAGGGTCAATTGAACCAGCCCATGGGGTCAATTGCACCTATCCTTAACAATGCCGTTTTCCCTCTTTAAGGCCACTTTCTTAAGGAGATAGGTTGTCCGGTTTACTTTTCCAAATGCTACATTCAATAGGTCGTTGGAAAGCTAAAAGTGCAAAGTTCCTCATAATGGGTGACACAAAGTACATAGACTATGGTAAAATGGGCGGATGAGGAAAATGAGAAATATCTCAGGCTATAGTGTGCCTTCAAGCAAAAGGCTGGAGAAAAAGGGGGTAAAATTTTGAGCTCTATTAAACTACTATTTCAGTTTAAAAGCTCATTTCAAAGGTGGACTATTTCCTTTAATGTTTACAGCCCCTGAACAATAACCATTGCAAAGGTCACCGGAGTCCATTGAAACGGCCTGTGGCCCTGTTTCAACTGACCCTCAGAGAAGCGTTTCAATTGACCCCATCCGTTCCCGCCATCTCGCACGCGCCGTAAAGCATATGTCAAACGAGCTGGAGGGACGGCATCATGCTGAATGAAGGGCCAAATAAGGTGTGATTCCGGAGCCAGGAGTTCTTCTTTCAGCAAACAAAGGTATATGAGATATCACAAAATATTCATAAAACGATTTCTCCCAAACGCCCCTCGAAAACACAAAAACAAGTGTCAAATCAAAATTACCGTCCGTTTGCCGCCCAAACGCCGTTGACAAAGGAAGTGGTCGAGCGCGGATGCGCAGTGGTGTCGGCAACGCCATATGTTGCATACTGTTGAAAATAAAGCCATGTTTCATCTGACCCCGCGTTTCAACTGGCCCCGCTCTCCCCTACATGAACTGAATTAGGTCAAGTTACAGCTTATTTTCCTTCTTATTCAAACATAGTTAGGTACCTATTACCTAACCTAAAGCTAAAAAGCAATCCCTCAAAAGATTGAAGTACCCAGTCTACATATCAAGCTATATCAAGAAAATACTCGGCTCAGAAGTCAGATCGAGATGCAGGAACAGATTGATCCGTAACTGTGTCAGACAGAAAGTGAGGAAATACGAATAGTGAGTAGGCATTTACAATTTTTTGACTAAGGTATATCATCATTAATTTAAATATCTAATCAGAAGCCAATGAAGTGTCCGTTATTTGTGCCATACGTGAGACGTGAGAATAGGCTATAGACCCATACCGATTCTATAATGCAGTAGCTGCCGAAAATCTAAGACGGTTAATGGTGCTAAAATCCTCTTAAAAATCCCCTTTTAATTTGAAAAAATAAAGCCATATAACGAAGAACACTCGTTTTTATGTGTTTTAGTGTGCATTAGTTCCTGGAAATACATATTTTGAAATCGATCGTTGTCTGTATAATAAGCATCATTATAATAAATCATGAGTTAATATGTGGAGGATGTGTTAATCGTAAAAATATCATTATGTAAAATGTTGCATACTTGTATCATAAAAACATGGAACCAGTGGCGTATCTAGGATTTCTCTCAGGGGGGGTCCGCAGTCAAAAGGGCCCTTGACTGACTGGGTTGAAAGGGCCCTTAAGTGGCAAAAGGGCCCTTGTAGCCTGGGTTGAAAGGGCGTTCAACCCGCGTCCCGTGGGGGGGGGGGGCGAAACGGCCCCCTGTCCTCTTCCGTAGCTATCTCCTAAATGACTGCAGATATCCCCACCAAACTTTCAGGACCTCTACGGGCATCCATTTTACACATTGTGACCATTTTTTCCCCAGAGGCTATGATAGGTTGGCCGCAAATGACGTCATGTTCTGCCATTTTCGACCCAAAAAAGGTTTCGCAGGAAGAGCTGTCAGCCCTACAGAGCTGTAGAAACATAAAAATGTTCCGAGATAAAAGGTGTACAATTAACCCTCGCCCGTATAGGGGGGGGGGGGGGTCCGAACGGACCCTCCCCATGGTTTTTCGCGAATAACTCGCGTAAAAAGCGGCCGATCGCGACGAAACTTTCAGTACCCTCGCGTTCATCAATTTCACACCTACCTTGAAAATTTCATGACCCTGACCCAAATGACCTTTGACCTGTGAACTACTTTTCGAGACCATGTTTGGCTGGAATCGCGATTCGGCGTATGTCGGCTCTCGCATTATCCGCGCGTTTGCAGTCTTTTCGTGGTTTCAAGTGTTCAAACATGTGATATGATGTTGCCCCCATGCATTAGGGTGGGTGTCAAGGTCACCTGAAGGTCAGGTCAGGTCATTGACCTTTGATGACCTCGGTTCGCTTTTTCGAGTTTTACATGTTTCTAGGCTAGTTTTTGGAGCTGAATCTGAATTTAGCAACCATATGAACATCTACGAAGTAGTTTTGGTGCCTTCGTAACATGTTACGAAGCTGTCAGAGCCGGTTGCCACCTACTACGAATACCCTT